ACTGTATTTTTTATCGGCGCCACCGGGCTCTAAACAGGTGCCACGACATTTGGGTGCCAAAGTGGCAACAGTTGATATCGTCGTGGTCCGGATGGTACCAGGAGGGGTGCAACAGCCCATCCTCAGCTGCGTTTTACCAATAGTGATCGGTCAATGATTGATTGAGGAAGAAAACAACCAGTGGTAGAAAACGCCGTGGGGTCATTTCATGCCTACCGGGACACCGACACTAAGACAGAATGTCATACTTGAAATCGTGCTAACGATTTCCAGTTTATAGCAGCAAAAATTCTTGAAATTTTCGATTCCACGGGTTGTTTAGTGCCAACAAATTGGTGGTACTTACTCTGGCAACTGCTTCTTGTAAATACAACGAATGTGTGGTGATCGGTTCGAGAATTCGAAGAACCCTCGACAAAATAACAATGGAGTCGATAGACTGAAACGGAAATGATTAGCAGTAGAACAGAATATAATAGTTTTAAGAATAGTTGTGAAGAAAAATAAAGTTTCATCGCCAAATGGGTATTTATTGAGTAACTTGATACAATCAGTGAGCTCTGACTCTGCCACAACTGCGTAAACGGTCATAGGAACTGCTAATTGATCTCCTTAGGGTGTGCAGTGCACTCGGACTCCAACATGGAGGCATGCAGGAGTTGCCGCTATGGTGGTTGCAAGAAGCCTCTTAAACACAAGTTGTATACTCACCCCTGAGGACGGCCTTTGCTCTGTGCAGGAAGGACGGGCTGGCAGCTGTGCAAGTGTGACATTTTCGGAATGAGGTGCAAGTCTACTGATACCCAGATGTCGCCGTTCAACTCTGCCCTCCCTATGCCCCAGGTGCAGCACTTGCTCCTTTGCCAGGACCCCGACACAATGAAAGCTAGAGAACAACCACCCGAGAGAGGGTGCAGACAATGAGCGCGTTTGGCTACTATCTGGCCGTGCATCAGAGTGGAGCCTTGAACACGTCCGAGTACATCACTACTCTCCGTCTCGTTCTAGTGCAGTTTCTGGGAAAGTGACATGCAACCGCAGCCGCGGACCCCTTCACATCGCATATGGCAAGAACCGTAAATAACAGAGATAGGCCACAGAGTGTACAGTTTTTCTTCTAACAGTCAAGCACCTTAGTAGGCCCCTCTTGAAAAGTCACCTGTTCCACAATCTCTGCATCAGCTGGTGAATCAGGGTTCCCAATAACTTCCTGCAGACGCCAGAGTACAAATTCACATCCATGAACGCATGCTTCTGCCACTTCAGGAGAGGCGTTCGGAACATTTCCGAAGAGCATCCCTTAAAAGGATCATATTCTGCGATGGTATGCTGTACAGCCAGGCCGCACTACAATCAGTTTTCTGTCTGTTAGTGCAGCGAATAAAAAGTAAAGCAAACATTGAAAAAGCAAAATTTTTTCAATATTTCAAAGTTGTTGGCACAACAGAAAGATCTTTTGTAAAAGCATTACCGTAGGCAAAAAAAAACTGGTTGCAAGCCAGGGACATAAACAGCGAAAGGCGCGTCTTCAAGCAGGTAATTGAACCGTCGCAGTCGCCGCAACACTCTCAACTACATACTTGGAAACGCCCCTTCTTTGCTTTCAGATATGACCTGTGAGTCGACATGCGCGCGTTATCTTTGCTGCGCTTCCTACTGGTGCCAGTCATTAGACGCCACTTGCAACGTCCTCTCGCAACTCCGCCAAAACACGGATCTCCTGACCGAAAGCTTAGAAAAAATAGTTCCAAACTGACCTTATGATAGTAAGAGCTCCCATAGTATTCCCAGAATCAATTGCCAATTTGATAGCTAATCTGCTGGCTTCATCTCTTGACATT